CTGATTGTGGGTGGCAGCTGGTGCTGTGGAGTGTCCTGCCTTTGTTTCTGGCCCCTCTGCTGCTTTCTCTCATTTCCAGCAGCTGCATTTCCCAGGATTAGGGGAACTGTAATTAAGGCATTTTTGCTAGTGGTTGTTTTGTGACTGTTTTAGGAGTGAAATACTTCTTGAAGTTGTCTTTGAGTGGTAGTTTGTTATACTACTGCAGAAGTGGACAGGTAATCCATGGAAAAATCATGCCTAGCCTCAACAATGAATTAAAAAATCAGAAGGTGTGTTTGAGTGCTGCAGGAATGAAATGGCAGGATTCGCTCTGGATTTGTACTTCCTTGGTGGTGGGGAAGCACAGCTGGAATGTTTGTTCTCACTGTGACAGTAGTGGCCTGGCCTTGTTGTTGAAGGGTGTTGAGCACCTGGGAACTAGTGGGAAGAAGAAGGATGAGAAGCTGCTGCTTTTTGAGCTGTTTTGCTCCATTTTCAGAGGGTTTCTCAGTCCCACTAGAAGCAGTCCAGGGAAAAGCTGGGTCTTTTCCTCACAACCAGGAAATCCTGCTCCATGTTGCTGAGAGAAAATCCCAGCTGTCAGGGCTGAAGTGCCACTGCTGTGTGTGTCTTCCTCACTTCAGTCTGGTTTATTTTCTCTGTGGAGTGTGTTCCTGCCACAGGGGCTGTGTCCTGCCTTCGGATGTCCTGAGAGCAGGCTGCTCCTGCTTGGCCAGCTCACTCTGTTTGTGTTTGGGGCTGGCAAATCCATACACAACCTCAGCCACCATCCAGCATGCACCAGGGAGCATAGCAGCACGTGTCTCCTTGGCCTGTAGTTTGCCCTCAAAGTTCTGGGTGTTTTTCCTTCCTCTCAGGTGTGAGCTCGCAGCCCAGGGGTCCTGTGTGGGGAATGCAGACCTTGGGGCAGCATTTGTGTGTGTGAGTCTGGTAGTTCTTTTGTTCAAATTTGAATTTATTTTTTTTTTACTTCATTTGTCAGCAAATACAGCTGAGTGCTTTTGAGGGAGGTGGCTGGTTCCTCTGCTGATACCCAAAACACCAGATAAATCTAATTAACCATGGAGTGTTGGCCAGAGATGGCAGTAGGTGTGCTCTTCTGCTCTGAGCTGCTGATCTCCACAAAACTAAGCTGAGCCTTCTTTCTGAGAAGGCATTTAAGAGGTTTTCCTGGATTGGTTTGGGTTGTTGTTTTGGTTGTTTTTCTTATTCAGGTTTGAACAAGAATATAATACCTAAAACTCTTCTAACATTTAATGCAGGCAGCTCTGTCAACGTCTCTTGTCGTGCACAAAATGCTCTGAGATGAAGATAGAGATCTTGTGTAACCTCGTTCTGGCCTGGTGATGGTAACAGCTTGTTTATGTACTAACTACTGACCCTTATTTTTTTTCCTTTTTTTTTTTAAATGTAAAAGTGACAGAATTGTGGGAAAAATTAATAAAATGGATTTGCTAACTCCTGCTGTACAGAATAAATACCCGCAGTGGATGCTTACGCCAAGCCCAGAGGGAGTTCCGGGTGACAAGAAGGTATGTATGTCACCACACTGGGGAGGTTGTGGTGCAGGCTGGGTAATGACACGAGATGGGACCACAGGCTTTTGGTTGGAGCTGTGCCTCTGGTGTTTGTGAGAGCTCCCAGCTCTCCTGTCCTGGGAACTGTTACTACATGGAGGTGCTCCTGTGTTATTCCTGGTCAGAGTATCGTGTGTTGACCAGAGGCTGTTGCTATTATCTCTGTAGACATTTCTTCCTGACAATCTTGCAATTCTGTAGCAAAACCACCCCAGTATAAGGGAGCTTTGGATATGTTGCTCCCCCAGTATTGGGGGTTGTACCCCAGCAAGGACTGGGGATTGTTCACCTGGGTAATCTGAGAGCTCAAACAGAATGGCCTGGAGTTGCAGACAGGGGAGGTAGTTCTGGTCAGGCCCTCAGGCGTTAGATGTTTGCATGTGTTCAGTGTTTCAGAAGGCTTTGCAACTCAGAGCTATCAGAATTAATTGATCATGGAGATCATGTCATTTTCTGGTGGTCCAAGAATGTCAATATGTGCTTGGATTTTTTTTTCTACATTTATGAGCAATTCAGTATAAAATTTTCTGTTAGAAGGGACTCCCCCCAGCCCTGTGACACCTGAAACTGCTTTAACAATTAGGAAACTAATTAAGAAGACTGTTGATCAGCTTTCCTTCTGTAAAGTTGGAGTAAAATCAGTAGCATGGATATTAAAAAAAGCAAGTTGAAATCAAATGACTCCATTTGCTGCAGTACAGGTGTTGTGCTGCCTCAACAAGCTCTTGGAGGAAGGGCTCAGGTTAAACTCTGGCCCTTCATTAACTGGAGGGACTGTTCTGTTGTGCAAGTGTAAAATCAGCACCATCTTTGTGTGGGTTGTTTGGGGTTTTTTTTGGGTATGCATCTCTCCCTCCCAGGCAACTCACTGTTTCTGAAATTGTATTAGAACCTCTTTTATGTTTTGTGGCAACTTGTGGTTGACATGATTTTGTTCTTCACGTTTTACTGTGTCACACTTGGCTGTATTTGCCATTTCTGGCATCACTGCTTACTTCTGCATTTCTAATGAATCTGGAGGTTCTTCAGGATGGTCAGTGTTACCAAGTTGTGCAGTTCAGTTGAGTTTATTGGTCAGTAAATTTTAGTAAATAAGCTCCTTAAAGGGGGTAAAAAAAAAGTGAACTGGAATGTTAGGTTTCAGCTGTCCTTGTGTGTTTACAGCTGAAGTTTGTGAAGCAGGGCTCATCCATTGATGGAGGACATGGGTTCTCTCAAGTGTTGCACGTAGTTTTAAATCTGTGGAGTTCTCCTAGACCTTGTGAAGTTCCTCATGCGCTGTATCTGGCAGGATTGAGTGACGTGTGCTGGCTGAGATGTGGGACCAAGGAATTGGGCAAACAGAGCTATTGCTGCCAAAATACAGATGTGTCGAAGGATTAGAGCCTGGCCAGGTCTGAGTGACTTGAGAAATGGCATCACAAATAATTATCCATTTCTGACTATTTTTTCCCTCGAATTTGAGGTGTGCAAGTACTGCAGCATTTGAAATTATGCTGTAGGGGGGTTTTGATGCTGTCAGAAATGGATGTTTTCCCGAAGCTTGTTTTGGAAAGCTACTGGATCTCCTTGGTGGGGAAGAATCCAACTGAACTCGACTGAAGTGACAGCTCAGCCTGTGTGATTTCAGTTGGAATGCTGGGTGTTAAGCAGAGGAAACTGGGCACAAACCCCAGGGTTTTTATAACGGGGGGTATGAGGCTGTTGGCAGCTGACGGGGCGCTGGCCCTGTGTGCGGGGCGCAGTCCTGCTGCCAGGTGTCGGTCACAGTTGGTGCCAGCCTCGCCGCGGTGGGCTTAGCCACACACAGCGGCTGCAGTGGTGATCCATTCCCTGGCAAGGTCAGGGGAGGTTGGTAACCAAACCTCTTCCCAACTTTGCGTGGCAGAAGTCAGCTGCTCAGAGGAGCGTTTTGGAGGATGGGCTGCCCTTCCTGGAGTTCCGTGGCTCTGTGGTTTACAGCTACGAAGCCAGCGACTGTTCCCTCCTCTCAGAAGATATCAGGTAATAGCTCTTACTCGGGGTTTTGTGGGGTTGGTGTTGGTGGTTTTTTGGGTGCTTGGAAAGGACTTGGCTCTTTTCTGTCTCCTCCTGGCTGATTGTCCATTCTGTGTGTCCAGGGGTCAGCAGTTAAGCCAGAGAAAGCAGCAGGTCACGTTGGCCATCCTGTTACACTTGGCAAATTTGTCGTGCTGGCTGCGAGCACAAACTGAACCTCTTCCTCGTGATGGTGAATGATCCCTGTGAGAGAGATCCCTTGGTTTGTCTGGGGTGTGTGGGGTGCTTTAAAAACACCTCTCCACGGCGGGGTGCAGGTACAGTTTCCCATTTGCCATGGCTGAGCCTTGCAGTCCCTTTAGGCAGGAACAGTCCAGGCTCTGACCCAGGTTCTTGGCCTTTCCCAGGGTGGATCATTCCATGGACTGCAGTGATTCCACAGGGAAGTACGAGCTGTAAGAAATCAAATGTACATGTTCACTTATAGCTAGGGACTGTGTGTGCCTGAATAAAAGGTAGTAAATTCATGATACAAACAGGTTATTATTTTTTCCCCCTGTGTTTGCATTGCACAGCTCTTCTTACTGGGGGAAAGGTTCTATCCAACACTTGGACTGCAGTGGGATTGAGGAAGAACAGGCATTCAAGGGAATACACGCTGTTGTATCACTGTTTGCACCTGGCTTTTTCCAGAGGTGTGCTATGATACTGTCTGCATGTGGTGAGAACTGCAGAGGTTTGAAGGGTTCCTGGGAGCTTTTGGGACCAGCAGGCATTTCACCTCTTCATGGTCTCATTTTTAGAATGGTTTCTGTGCCCTGTTTGTTTAAAAGGCAAAAACACCCGTTCTGTGGTTCTCTTGGTCACCCGTAGGTAAGATGACTCCAGCCTGATGTGTTAAATACTGGTAGAGGAACAGTGATGGGTGAAGAACTTGCTTTTCTTTTCAGGCAGGGGTTACCAGATGGGGCTGCTGTTGGGTTTGATGTGGAATGGCCACCGTCGTATACTAAAGGGAGAATGGCCAAAATAGCCTTAATCCAGATGTGTGTGACCGAGGAGAAGTGTTACTTGTTCCACATCTCTTCCATGTCAGGTACTGTACTGGCTCCCTTCTTATTATTTAGGGCATGAGTTGCCCTCTGTGTCTCGTGATTGGGTTTGAACTTAAGCCTTGAGCAATAGATGATATTTCACACTGTGGATAGTAAAAATCCATCCTCCTTCTACCCTTTCCTGCCTGTAACCAGGATATTTATTCTTGGACTATAATCTGTGTGTATCAAGGGGATCATAGCCCCAGCGTTGCCCTGTGTGCTGGCATACAGTGTTGAGGGTTCTGGGCAGTGCAAAAGAAACTTACCTCAGGGTTTGTTTTTTTTTTTTTTCCTCTATGAGGAAGATTATTTTAATTCAGTTTTAAATTCCCTGATCATATAATGAGCTTTCTATTTAGTGCCACAATAAACCTAAATTTACCTGGCTGTGTTTCTTTTTAATTTGGCTTCAATAACAAACCCCTCCAAAATGATGGCTGTTGTGCTGTTTGTTCCCAGTACCTGCATTTTGCCAGGTTGGTTTTCAGAAGGAATACTGGGTGTGTGGTGTGATGCAGCTGTGGGGAGAGAAGGGGCTGTGCTCAACAGAGTCTGAATTCATTATGGATGTGAATAAAAGCTTCCAGGTAGGGAAAATAGGAATGAGGGAAGGAGGCTGCAGCTTTATAACCTTTGGTTTGAATGTTAGATTGAAGCTCTGCCTGTGAGATGTCTCTGATTTCCCAGGGGTGTGCATGCTGAGGTATAATAGCCATCATTTTAATGTTGGTGTTCAGTCCTTTGTCGTTCAGAGCAAGTGGGGTGGAAAATTTAATTGCTGGAGGGTATTCAATCTGGGAAGCAGAAAGGTACAAATGCACAAAAGAACAAGGTTTGAGGAAGGTAAGCTAAGGCACGAAGAGTCCTCAAGAGCTGAAATGCTTCTGATTCTGAAAGTGAAGGTGCTGGTATGTTGGTGCTGAGTACTGTTGCATGCAGGCTACTCAGTGTTACAGCAGCAGGTTGTGTTTCCTCCAGAATAATTCTGTAACATTTCTGTTTTTGCCAGTAGGAGATGCACTCTGAACTGAGTGACATGTCCACCTTCTCCCAGGAGCCACTGACCATTTCTGCTTATTATGCAGAATATGTTTGATTTACAGAAATGTACAAGTTGGCAGAATTAGGCAGTTGGATAAGACCTTTTGTTGTTGTTGCAAAAACCAAAACACTCCCTTCTGCAATGGGAGAAGATTAGAGAGTTCTTGGACTGTGTATAAAGGACAAAAATTACTTATATTTATCAGGGAGATTCTTGATAATTCCCATTTCTTACTTTTTTTTTCCTTGCCAGACTTTGAAGAAAATGTGGCTGGTTTTCCAGGTGGTAGTCTCTGTATAGTCCTGAACTTAGACATTTTTAGTTCATACAGTCACTTTTCTAGGAACAAGATAGTACAAACAGAGCACAAGTCCTCTGCTGGGAAATTGCCATCCTTGAAGCTTTGCACAATGGTATTCTTATGTGAAAATCCCTTGTGCAGTAAGTCAGCTGCATGTGTCGCAGGCTTTTATTCAGATCAGCTGTATTAATCTCCTCTGCAGAGGATTCCAGTGTTGTGTTATGACTGAGGTGCTTTGGCAGTGTTGTATTTGTCTGCATCTTACAGCATCAGGGTACTACAGGTTTGTGGGGTTTTAACATTTAACTGTCTCTTAAAAAAACAAAACAAAACAAAAAACCCAAAACCCTATTTAACTGTCTAATGCTTTGAACTGGACCTGCCAGTTCACAACCCACAACACAGGTGTGTGGCTGTCACTGCAGAAGTGTCTGTGTAGTGTGTCAGTGGCAGCCTGGAAGTGTGGAGATGGTTGGGTACAAATGAAATCAGAGATGCACAGTGATTGCTGAAGGATATAGACATGTGTTACAGCAGTGAAAATGTGGAATTTCATATCAGAACCAAGCCAGACACAAGGTACTGCGTGTTTGTGCACTACTGTGTGTTCGTAGGTACTGGAATTACGCTTGAGACTAAGTGGGGCTATCCAGCTGGGGATTCCTGAAGGTGTGCATTTCAATAGGATGATCTGAATTTAAAATGGAAGCAAACAGAGGGGAGGAAAAGGCTGTTTTTGTTTGAGTTCAAAGTGTCTGTGGCTGTTCCCTCCTGTAGAAAAGCAGATATGAAAGCTGCATGCTCCTGTTGAGCGCTATAACCATGACTGCTGTGCCATCAGTTGGGTGTAAATCCAAGTGTAATATTTAACATCTCTGTACATCCTTGGGTATTGTTTTTTCTTACTTAGAAAACTGACTTTTCTGGGCTTGTTGGAGGATCTGGTTGGCAAATTCTGTTATCCAAATGCTGTTGTTGGTCCAGCCCGGTGTTAACACTGAGTATGTCTCCACAGAATCTATTCTTTTGGTGATTTCTTCTTGCTTTGTTTAAACTGTTTACTGGGAATGTGAAATAGCAAAAACAGTGAAGGAATAATGTGCAAAATGGTGAAATAATACTGTGTTTGGTTTAATGAGCATCCAGTTCTGGGAATTAAAATACCTTTTCCATTTAGAGGTTCCCTTTCTGTTCTGTGATTTCATGATCTGTAAGATAAGTGAAACTATTGAAATGTCTTAATTGATTTTTTTTTCAGATGCGGAATGTATTTGTGTAATTCAAATCTTACGTTCCTGTTTGTCTGCAGACAACACACTATCACCAGTCGGTGTTTCCAGTTGTTCCCAACAGTCACATAGCATCCCAGAGTTGCTCTGTTTTCCTCTAAAAGCACAGGTTTTTGCATGTGGCCTTTGTGCTTGGATTTTGTAATTTCCTTTAGACTTACTGGCATCTTCCAGTGTTGAGTTTCTCATGTTTGGGCTTAATCTATTTTAGGTTTCCCCAAGGGACTCAAAAGACTGCTGGAAGATGAAACAATTAAAAAGGTTGGCGTAGGAATTGAGGGAGATCAATGGAAGCTGATGAGTGACTTTGAAATCAAACTGAAGAGCTTTGTGGAGCTGGCTGACGTGGCTAATGAGAAAGTAAAACTTCAAACCTTCTTGTTGTGGGAGGGAATCTTGTTATTGTGCTGTACCAAAGGAGGCTTCCTTGCCTTCATAGGAGTTCGATTCTGATAGCAAAAGTATTTGGTAGAATGAAGCAGAGATGTATTTTGGCATTTTTTTAAGTAGTTTAAAAAGAACCTTCAAGGTCTGTGACATTAAGTGTTGTCTTTCAGTGAACATTTGTCCCCTTTCAGGTCTGTTCACCTTTTGCTCTTACATGTACAGCTTTTTAATTCAGCTGCAGATGCATTTTCCTCCCTGCTTGGTGATGGGAACTGCCAGACTGGGTAAAGCTTGGGGTCTGCTGGCAGCGGTGTGCTTGTCCCCCCAACAGCTGCACCTTATAAATAAGCTGCAAGAAAGGCTGCAGAGGCAGCCTTGAAGGTCTTCCTTGTAGTCCTTCATGCAGAGGTATTTGGCACATGATCTAGAGCTGTAGAAATATCTTAGTTTCCACCTCTGCTCTCCCATGGGTGCCGTTTCCAGTGCCTGAGGACCCAGTGTTCAGAAGGAGAGCTGTATTTGGTGTACCTTGAATTTCTGTGTAGTTGGGTTTTGGTTAGGTGTCATCTGATGTAGGGAGATCTGTGCTGGCTTATTAGGCGAAAGAGCAAAATACTCATTGCCTTCCAAATCATCCTGGTATTCTTATGTCTAGCATGTCCCTTGAAGCTGTTCTGTTTTTTTTCTGTGTGTGCAAGGCTTTTCCTTACCTGTACTTAGTCTCTCCATGCACTTCTCTTTCCTTCTGTGTATTTTCTTGTTTGGTAAGGTAATAACAACAACTCTGATTGCCTGGTAGAGGATGGAGATGTATGCCCAGAAATAATGCTGCTTATATCTTTCTCTGTTGGGTGCTTTAAGTACCCTGTGTAATTAAATCACAGTGGGAGAGAGGAGGGTGTGATGTACTGTCAGCATTTGGGGCAGTGCTCTCTGTATGAGCCACCTGGAAATTTCAGTTTCTAGTGGGTTGGAAATGGTACAAATTAAACTGTGTTGTTCAAGCAATAGAAGGAACTCTTTATTTTCAGGCTTGGGGTTAATTCAGTTCACACCCCCTTCCCTCTCTTTTTTTTATATTTTATCCCACTATCCAGCTCCAGGGCAATTTTTTGTCAAGATGAGCAAGGTGATTTCTGATAGCAGCCTGACTTCTGCTAAAGAGAAAACAAACCAAAAATAAACTTGAAAGGGAAACCTGAGAACATAAAATAAGGTTATATGTAAAGGCTTGATGTGAGGGGGAGGGCTGGGGAACCTAAAAGGAGCAGTTAGTGTTTTGGGTTTTTTAATACCAGATCTAAGGGGATGAGCTGATAACGCTGCACTGCTCTGCAGTTCCCCTTCTTTGGCAAGCGCTTGTGAGTTGGAATAGCAGAAGGCTGTCCCCTTGAGTCCTGGGTCCTTGGGCTCAGAGGGAAAGTTTCCCAAACTGGCTGTTAAAGGACAATAGCATGTGGCAACTGTGGCTGACCAGTAAGATTTCAAAGGCAATTGGGAACCACAGTGTGGTGGGGTGACTGCTGGAGATGTGTGACTGACTGCACACTGAGCAGTGGTCAGTGTAGCCTGAGCTGTGCTCTCATGCTTGTGCTTGGTCTCAGACTTACCAAAGATGAGAAAACACTTCCAGGCAGACTTTGGTATTCCTGTGTTTATATTAAATAACTCAGTGGTGTTTGATACTGAGTTTCTCAAATTAGAAAGGCAAAATTATAGAAAATTACAGAAAGAGAGAAGGGTTACTGTCTAAGCCTGTGGCTTTTATTTTCTCACCCCAGAGCCTACATGGTACAGATATTTCCTATTTTTGGTAGCGTGACAACACCCCCTCACACTGCATGGACTCACCTGGCCCTAATGCTATCTTGACAATGTGGGTATGTCCTCTAACAACATAGTTTCAGGGCAGGGAAATACAGCTTTCAAATGGCCAAGTAACCTTTTAATATGGTGAGAGCAGAATTAGGCCTGGAGAACAGTTACTGCTTTGAGAAACCAGTTCTTTCTGAATAACCCGGAGCTCTTTGCTTTCCACGAGGGATTGAGTTTGCTTTGCTGCTTTTAGGAATGTGTTCTGCCGGGTACAATTGCTTTCTGCTTTAAACAAGTCCTCTGTTTTGTTGGTTTGTTATGTTTTGTTTTTTTCTTTCCCCAGCTGAGATGTAAGGAGATATGGAGTCTAAATGGTTTGGTAAAACACCTTTTTGGCAAGCAGCTTTTGAAGGATAAATCTGTCCGCTGTAGTAACTGGGAAGATTTTCCACTCAATGAGGAGCAAAAACTGTATGCAGCCACAGATGCCTATGTACGTACAAGAAATGATCCCCATTCCACCTCTACCTGTAAATTCCTTCTCTCATGTGCTGTTAGCTGCTGGTTTTTAATGCCTTTCTGCTACAGAACATAATGAACATGGGAAGACACTGAGGTCTGCTGTGATATGGGATAATAAAGGTGAAAATGCCACCAAGTAGGTTGCTGTCCAATTCCTTGTCCACTTCAAATTTATAAACCTCAGTGCTCATCCAAAGCTTCATATTATCTTTGCTGGAGGTGGTACTGCTTGTACCTGACTTGGTAACTGGTTTGGTTGCTCAGATCACTCGAAGAGGATGTTGTGGTGAACATTGTATGTAGAAAACTTAATGAAGGTGGAAGAAAAAACCCTGTTCACAGCAGCTTTGAGTCTCCCATGAGGTCTTTACCTCTTCATGTTTCATGGTGTTGCAAGATTTGCTTCTTTATTGAAGTCTACTCAGGAAGCAGAGCTCCTGGAAGTCCTTCTCTGAAAGTACCGAGTAACCAAGTGAGTTTTGATGGAGCAGGCGGGTGATTTTCCTGTTTCTCTGTATAGAATAAGCTGAAACTGTGACAGTGTGGTTATACCACATGGGTGTGATGTGGCTGACCTGCAGTGAAGTCCAACAGTCGCTTACGGAAGTAAAGATGGGGTCATTATGTTTTGGTTCCCTTGTCTGCAGGAATTCACTCTAGCTGGTTGGCACTTTTAAATGTGTTTTCTCCTGGGGACTCCGTTCATTTCTCTCGAGCTGCTTATGAACCAGAATCCTGCTAAATATAACATGTGAGATAAAATTAAGAAGCAACTTGGAAGAAATACAACCTTCTCCACCCACTAATGTAGCAGAACCACAGTATAGATTACCAGGAAGAGTTAATTGAGTTGCATATTGATTTCTGTAGCTGTGTAGAAGCCTCTCTTCTTTCTCCATTTTGAGGAGAGTGTAGTTTTCCTGCAGCTCTGTGCAGAGATTTACCAATATGCTGATGGATGCTGCCTGCTTACTGGGAGAAAATTGGCTTTTATGGCAGCAAAATAAAATGGCCTCAGGCTTTTATTTCTGTGATGAGGTTAGATAGAGGAAGGGAAGTGGGGCAGTGGTCTCAGGTTTTCTTTTCTGACTGGGGAAACACTGCATATTTTCTAGTGCAGTTAAATGTTAAACTGTGGAGGGTTTAGCAGCTGTTAAGACCCAAACCAGGGAGGGAAGGAGCTCTGGCTTTATTGCCTAGAGCACCTGCTGTAGGCACCTTTTCCAGGCAATGCCTCTTCCTTGCTACGCTCTGTTCACCTGGCCTGCCTTTTGGAGCCTCAGAGGAAAACATGAGGGAAGAAATTGTTTCTTTCTCTGTCCTCTTTAAGATGCTTTGTATAACATGTGGAGCCTAATTAGCACTTTGCTAGCTTTAGGCTGCATTTTCCTGTTAGAACTTATTATTAGTATCGAGGGAAATATGAAGCACACAGATTCTATTTGAGCAGGTTTACAGCTATTCTCTTGGAGCACTACAGAAAATGTGAATGAAGTGGAGTAGATGGTGAGATGAGAAGCGGAGTACTTGGAGCTTACTATTTATAGCTAACTTTGAGATAACCACTGCTGGGATTTATATCAGAGTACGTGGATCCTAAGTCAGGACTTTGCCTTTGTGGAGCATTCTGCCAAAAGGTAACCTGGTTGTGAGGAACAACGCAGTGAGGCAGGTGGCTGACTGTTCTTGGGCATGGGACAACAACCTGAAACTTGATGTTCAGAATGTATTCGTGCTGTAGGGTGCTGAACTAATTCTTGGGGTTTTGTTTCATCTCTAAGATGTTTCTCAGCAGACTACTCAGTAATATTTTTTTTTTTTGCAGGCTGGCTTCATCATTTATCAAAAACTTAAAACCATGAATAACAGGGACCAGCAATTTTGTGTGAGAAGAGGTAAATTATACACTCAAGCATAAGGAATTTATTCAATGTACAATTGAATATTCTATTTCTCAACAGCTTTTTTCATAGTATCTTTGTGTCAGGGTTGTCTGGCTTCTTGGTGATGGGAGATTGCTTTGAGAGAGACCAGGCTGTAAAGGCTCTTAGGTGGACTGGGTTACCATGCTGTGTGACTGTTTGCCATAGGGATGTAGGAATGCAGTCTTGGTATGTTGTTTGTTTCTACTGTATACAGAGGTGGTAAGAATTCCCGCTGTCATTTTAGTTTATTTCTGGAAATAATACACTGAGTTAATTTTGGTTCTACTGATGCATGGACAAAAACCTAGTTGAAAAAAAAATTTAAGACCACGAAAAAACACGTTATGAAGTAATACTTTCCTTGAGGTGTGTTTTTTGTTTGTTTAGGGCAGCTTAACATTGTGTACTTTACTAGAAAAGTTACTCTAAAAATCTTAGTTTTTCTTGCATTTCATGCTTCATAAGGCAAGTTCAGTATTGTGTCTATCTTATGTTTGTAAAAGAGACTGAAGGGAGTTTATTTCCTGGTACTGGCCAAATTTTACCTTTCTGTCAAAGACAGAAGTAGCAGTGTTATCACCTTCATATGAGGTGCAGTTTTTTGGCTTTGGTTGAGTCAGCATATCTGTGATAGCAGCTCTTTTCTGGAAGCTCGAGGCTATTACAGGGGAAGGGTCACTTTGTTTTGTGTCCTTTTCCCCTGACCAAGTGTAACGGGCCACTGGAAGAGATGCAGTGCTGAAGTAGGTGGGAGCTTGCCCTGATTCTGTGCAATTGATTTTTAACTGCTGGAAGAGGCTGTCTTATCAGGTGTACATCTTGTAGGAATGTGCCCTGGTTTTTACTGATTTGCATAGAGATGTTAGACCTCAGTTATTGTGTAATAACTCTGATGGTGCTTCTTACAGGTGACGTGTTGTCAGAGGGTGTGAAGGAGCGCTTGGCTTCACTAGCTGAAGAGATAACGGACCTGGCTTCTCGTATCCCTGACTCTTCTGGACCGCTGGAAAACTCGCAGAGGTTAGACTTTTGCCAGCCTGTCTCTACCTTACCTGCGAGATCAGTGTTTTGTTCCTGATCCCTGAGGTCCCACACAACACAATACACATGTGTTAGCAGCTGTCTCAGATACCTGTGTGTTCTTTCCCAAGGAAAGCAAGCACAGCACATTCGATGGGAAAATACTGTGTGTGTTTGTAGGAACGTAGGTTTTCACTGGTCTAATTGCAATGGGTTTGACACTGAACTTTGCTGAATCTGTTTGTTCTTGCTGAAATGTGTAGCAAGACCTTCTTTCATAAGTGCTTGGGACTCTCGCATGTCTAACCACTAGAAGTCTGGAGACTTCCTACAAGCGTGGGGGCAATACCCCAAACAGTGTTTTTGGGGAGTCTTCATAGGTTTTCTTTACTGTAAAGAAATTAAATTTTCTTTCACAGAAGTGGAATGCCAATTGCCTGTGAGTGATGAGCCTTTATAGGTTAAGTTTTGGACAAACTCTTCTATGGAGAAAGGGACTTATGTAGAATCCTCTGTTCTGCTTGTAGTTAAGATGTATGTAGTCACTCCCATTATAATTTTGATTTAATTTCCTTGTTTTATCTTCCAGGGCTATAGAAATAATAGCTGACGTATCAGAAAAAGTACGTGCCTTGAGAAGAACGCTGTTTGGGTCACGTTCCCCTTCTGTATTGGAGAGGATCCGTGGTGTAACTCCAACAAATCTTGAGGCAGAGTCAGCAAATATTGAAGCACAAAAAGTTCAAGTGCCTGAATTTGCTGGACAGCTTGAAGCTGACTTCAACATCTGCTCTGATGCGACGCTGGCTGGCCTCTGGGAGGGAGATAGTAATGGAGAGGAGGCAAAGAGAGGTAGCGCTGTTGTGGAAGATGGGGCTGCAGCAGCCAGCTCTCAGGACAAAGCAGACAGAGATGACTTCATGTCACTGGACATAACAGAACAAGAACTTCAGATGTTGGAATATCAGGCTGCACAAGAACTGGTGAACGAAGCTGTGCCTGAGGTAATGAGACAAGCCCTCCTTAATCATGGACATTCAGCAGAGGAAGTGATCTCATCCTTCATTTTCCCCCAAGGTTTAAAAAAGCTTTGTTTCTGAGAGAATATTAAGGTGGGCTGGAAGAAGGGATCAACATCTGGAAAATAACTGTGGAGATAGTCAAGCACTGAGCTGCTCTTCAGCTGTGTGGTTGGAAGGGTTAGTACTGAATACAGAAGCTCTAGATAGTCTGATTACTTTTTCTCTTTCGGTTGCTAACGTGTTATCAAAGAACTTCTTCCAGTATGGGCACAAATTCTGCATCTCCAGAGCATCTCCAGCTTGGTCACGAGTAAAAAGCAGATATGTTTGGAAGGCATCTGTAAATAGCAATCCTTCTAGTGACTGCTGAATGTGGATTAATGCCTCTTCAATCAGATTATAATTTCCTTGTGTTCCATGTGTTTCTCACATCTGGTGATGCTGCTGTTTCTGTATCTTACTACAGGGCCTTGTTATGTTGCAATATTTCCTTCAGATATTTTCTTAACTGAACAGGCTTCAGAGCTGAATGTTGAGCTTAGTTACTTCTGTTTTACAGAATGGACAGAAGCTTGAAGGGTTGTGGGTCAAATAGAATTAACTTTGCTGATAAGAAGAAAATATTTTTGTTCTTAGGAGGCACATTCCACGGACAACGAACAAAATGTTTCCTGTGTCATTGAAAGCGATGAAGAACTGGAAATGGAGATGCTTAAAGTGAGTTCCTTGGGATTTTGGTTTTTAATTTTTCCGGGGGTGATGATGATGATGCTATTGTGTCACAGTGAAGTTGAGTGTAGTTGAGGGGAGAGAATATAAAGCAAAGCAACCCTGTTTACAGCTCAGTAGGAAGTAAGGCTCAAAGGTCTGGGGAAAGAAGTTGAGTTTTAATCTATGGAAGGACCAGGCCTCTTCTGGGTGGTTCTCAGTGCTGCGTGACTGTCCTGCATAAATGCAATTTTGGTCAAAAAAAGCTAACTTGAGTAGAAGGGATTTAATGAGTGTTCCTCCAAGTACCGTGTTTCAGAAACAATGAGTGTAACATGACATTGGGATCCCATCCTTTCTATTTCTGTGAGTGTAGTATGTTAAACCCCTTCTGCAGTGGAACTTGTTACTTCATCTAGTTGAAAATAAAAAAAACAAGCAACCAACCAAACAAAAAACCTCAAACAACAAACAACCCCCCCCAACCCAAAAAAACCCAAACACAAAAAATCCCAAGTGAAACAGCCAAACGTTGGTTTTATAAAATAACAGGCTTTAAGTAGATTAAAACTCACTTATCCCTATATCGTATTACCTCAGACATGCATTTTACCTACTCTTCCATGCTCCAAAACACTTCTTTCTCTTGATTTCTCAGTCTTTAGAAGATGTAGATGATTCCAAAGGAGCTGTAATGGAAAGAGAGTCCAATAAAGCCAGGAGAACTCCTGACACAGAATTGAATGTTGTGCTAGATGGTGATGAAGATGAAGGCGTTGAGGAAGAAGAGGAGGAATGCTTGGGTATGTTTTATATTATAGTGCATGATGAAACAAGAAAAATCCCTGGTCTGTAGAGGTAGATGTGGAAGCACAGAGATGTTTTGTGCTTGGTTTCTTAAAGCACAAACTTAAAGCTCATCTGGGCTTTGAAAAGAGATCTGTATGTTGAGGTGAAAATTTAAAGGTGTCATAGGCAAAGTGTAGTTGACTCCTGCCATGACCCACAGATGTTCCAGATGCTTAATGGGAGTAAAACTGATCCGGAGATACAGAGGTCATGCAGAATTGAGGGGACCTGTTCAGAGCACAGCAGAGCTGGCCCTGCATGCCTGTGTTCTGTTGTCCCACTGCTGCTGCTTAGTGGCAGAATTCTTACAGAATTCTGGCTTGGGAGGGATCTTGACCGAATGCTTTGGAGCTGCCCCTGTGGAGACAAATTAAATGGGGAAAAGAAGCTGAAGTGAGAGTTAAAATACACCTTGACTGGTTTGGACTGTCACTGGTGAAAGCTTTCTTTTCTCATGGTGTAAGTTAGACTGTGGACCTTGTCACTGGAAGTTAACAGGATCAACCAGCAGAAGAGACACTTGCTTCTGAGCAGATCGTGGGCTGCTAGATGGGGATGGATGAGTTGATTTTCTTTACTCAGTACATCTCTAAGCAATAGCCAGGCAGGCTGTTACAGGCCATGTGTGCCTGGAAATGTTTTCTGCTGCTGGTGTTAATTATATATTTCAACAGAGATCAAGATCGCCTTGTGTGTCACTTGTGGACTGTGACTTCGTTATGAACTAGCAGTGTTGGGCATTGAGTGTAACTTAAGTAGGTCTTTAAAGGCATGCCTAGTAAAACATTTCTAGTACCTTGTTTGAACGTGTTCCAAACAATGCAGCTGTGCATTACAGTGCTGCTGCTTTATTATCTCATTAATCAAGGCACATGTTTCCCTCACACAGTGTCTGTGAGGAGCCTGTTTGCTTTTTGAGTCCTTTATTCTATCCCATCAATATCTTAAGTGTTTGAGGTCTCGCTTCTCTGGAGTTGCTCAAATCCTAGTCCCTGGGCATCACTAACCATGAGTAGACTCTTGTCAAGGCAGAGCTTTCTCTTTTTAAAATTTAATCACATGTGAGGTTGTTTCTTTTCTTTCCCACTAAAGACCCACTGCTGCCAGTGCCTAGTGAACGACACATCACATGTCTGAAGACGTATTTTGGGCATTCTTCTTTCAAACCGTAAGTATATTTTCTGGTAAAATGTACACTCTAGGATTCATTTTGTTTCCCTTCTTTCAACTTGGGTGATTTCTTTTTATTAGTACTTATTTTAAAACCACTAACAAAATTAGGAACTGTGCAAAATCCCCAGGAAAAGAAAAGCAGCCTTTGCCACAACAAGCAGTCAAAATGAATCGGTGGGGATGTGAACTGCAATACTGCACTCTCACAGGAGAGGATGAGTTTCCTGACTCTTCTGATGGCATGTCTCCTGTGCTTGAAGCTTTGCTTTATCAGGTCTAATTCAGGAGTTGTAAACAGCGAGCAACGAACTGCAGGGATGTTACTCTGTGATAAACTTCCTTAGTCTTGTTATCCTTCGTTACGTGGCTCTAATTAAGGAGGGACAGGCTTCTGTCTGCTAATCTAGTGTGGGGTAATCACAGTGCGGTACATGCTTGTGTACTGGAGCATTGCTGTTAGAGTGCTGAAATTCAGGGGGCATGGTATGGAATTGTCCTGGATGACTGGTGGCAGAACACCTTTTGTGCAAGACACAGCCTAAAAACAGCACTTGGGGGGAAGCTGTTTCGCTCAATTAAAGTATTTGGTGATCTTTTGGAAACAGGGATGAGAGGGTTATTTTAATTGACCACAGTTGTGCACGCTTGAGAGACCACAAAAGGATGAAAACTGTTTGACAAAATCAAGCTACTGTTTAGAACCTCTTGTGCTGAAGGTAACTGTGGTTTTCACAGTGTTTATGGATCAGTTATTAACAAGAAAGTTTGTTAATAACTCTATATTATATGTTATTATAATATGTTATATATGTTATTATATTATATGTTAATAACCCTCTATCAGGCAGCTGGAGGAGTTTCTTTAATCTGAAATTCAAATGAACATGTAGTTTCGTAAAAGTTACATGTTACGTGTGGTGGCAAAAATCAAGTATTCCCCTTTCTTTAATTTAAAGAGTCCAGTGGAAAGTCATCAATTCTGTTTTAGAAGACAGAAGAGATAATCTTGTTGTTATGGCAACTGGTAAGTTACCTTTATATCCTATAAGAAGCAGTGAAAAATATTTTCCTTTTTGAGGAGAGTAGGACTTGAGCTTGGAGACTGTTCAGGTAGCTCAGAGGAGCAGAGTGCCCTGATTGAGGCTGTCTAAGTCTGAGCCATCTATGCTGGCTACTTGTTTTTCTGTCCTAGCCTTTGGCACTGACCTTGGTGTAGGGAGGTGTATCGAATGGATGCTGACTGTGTTTATCTTGCTTCTTTGTTCCTCTCCTAGCAGAACAAATATACCTCTTTTAGGGCTAAACAAGGTGTTAGAATTGCCTTGTACAGCTGTATGTTACAGCTGCACAGAAAACATAATGTTTCACTTCTGCCTGTTTTTTTTTAAGGCTATGGAAAAAGCTTGTGCTACCAGTTTCCTCCTGTTTACACTGGATGTACAGGAATTGTCATCTGTCCTCTGATCTCCTTGATGGAGGACCAGGTGCTGCAGCTGACGTAAGTAATGTGGTAGTAACAAGCTGCTGCTCTCTTGCCTGTGGAAACCCACAGATTGTGCTTGTGGCATTTCTGGGTGTCTGAGGCTGCAGGTTTGTACAGCGAGCTGTTTGTGTGTCAGCTGTAAAGCATACGTTTCTCAAGGAACACATGCACACTGTGTAAATAGTCGAAGATCACGGTGTTTGCCAGTTACACGAACCGTAGGCTGAATTTGCAGAAGATCTGTGCTGGTGGGTGGTTCCTGAAGGTGGATCCTGCTCAAACATTTTGGGATTCACAGGCTTTTTTTGTGCAGACCAACCTGATAGAGGAGCTTCACAGAGGGCTTCAGCCTGTAAGAGTTATGTTAAAACTTGGTAGGGCTACCTTTGGCCCTGAGAAGTAACATCTGAACAACATAGAGCTGGAAGCTGTAGGCTGTTCTGATGAAAGTTATGGCACAGACTTTTAAGATGGACACTGGAGTAACTCTCCTAACACCTGGGCTCCTCACTTCTTAAAAGGCTTGATAGGGGAAGTAGTGGGTGACATGGAATCGCTCTTATGTGAGTGGCTGTAGATGTTGTCAATCATCTCAAAGATCAATCTCTCTGATTTTAATATGTGGTAGTGCTTTTTCTGCATCTACTTAATCTGTTATAGCAGCTCTTCACTTCTGACATTGTTTTATTTAAGCTATGGGAATCGTGCTGAGTTGTCTAGTTCATTCTTCCCTTGTCAGACTTGGAAAGAACAGGCCTTTTGTGAAAGAGGGGATATAAAGATTTTTTTGAAGTAAGGAAAGTCAATGATGTGTGGTATTTTCTGCTTCACATCACGGCTCTGTGCAGATGAATGACTGGACAGCCTGAGCTGGCTCTATAGCCAGCTCCTAGACTGAGTAGTAATCAGCAGGGTGTCCATATGCGTTCAGCTGCTGCTTTGGCTTTAGTACTGTTTTCCTCAGTGGAAAGGGTTTATTCACTACCTTCTCAGTGGGCCATTGGTTTTCGAAGGCTGAGGCGAGTGAATTTCTACAACCAAATACAGTTTAGTGATTTGTCTGTCAGTGTGGGAACAGTTCTGCTGAGGACTGAAACGTGGAGGAACGAGGGAGGAGAAGCTATTGAAACAAAGGACTGTGGAAAAAATGCAGTAAATGACCAAGGTAACAGGACAGGGCTTGTGGGCTCTTGAAAGAGGTCAAGTATGAAGTGGCTGAGCTGGTAAGCATAGTTATTGAAACCCCATCTCCTGAAAAGGAGCCACCTGATGAAAAATCAGCATATGTGGCATCAGTAGCTCCCAAAGGATTGAAGAGCAAGGCAAAAAATTGCAAGCTGGTAAGGCTTACACCTAACTGTGATCAATTGTGTCAGGTAATAGCTAAAGAAAATACACTTGCTGTGTCGTCCTCTTTTGGATGTTTTATTAGTAAATTTAGCTCTTGTGCAAGAAAAGTGGTCTTTATTCTTCTCATTACTTCTTGCACTAATGAAGTGTGTCTGTGGGGGACAGTTGTAGGGTAAGTGGAAGGGATTTCGGTGGCAGGAAGAGCCACTGCCCACTCTTGCTTTTTCAAAAGCTTTTCCCCCAAAAGTTGTTGGAAGGAAAGTGGTCTCTGGCCTTACAGCTTGAATTTCCTTTATGAAGTGCTGGCATAGGCAGAAAGCTACAGCAGAAGGCATTGAGAGGAAATACACTGACTGTGCTTTTTATTTCTGCAGGATGTCAGGGATTCCAGCTTGCTTGCTTGGTTCGGCTCAGTCAAAAAACATCCAAGAATGCATCAAAGAGTAAGTCTTGGCTCCGCTCTCTAGGACTACCCTTGCTGACATAGGTGTATTCAAGAGGAAGGATGTCTCCCTGATCTGTCATCACTGAAAATCTTGGTTCTGAGGCAGACCTGGAACCTGGCAGTCGGTGATATTACTTGCATTCACCCAGGCTGAGCACGTGGGAGGCTGTAGCCAACTTTTGTGTCCTCTGCCTGGGGAGATGGGGCTTGGTGACGCAGTTTTATGTGGGAATTTATACATGGTTTTACACAGGCCTTAGACCTCTGTTTGTCAGCAAGTCATGGTGACAGTCTGTTCTTGTTCTCAAGGCTAGTGAATCTCCATGCTGTTCTTCCTTTTCCTCTAAGGATGCGTGCTGCCTTGTTTTCCTACTGTTATAGAATGCTTTGTGGTCTTCACTTCCTTCCTTTTGTTCTCTATCCAGGAGTCTGTACTTGTTCTCACTTGTATCTTCTAGACAATTATGGTTTTGTTTCATTGGGTTGAGTTGTCTAGGGCTTTTCCTTCTGTGACAGTGTATTTTCTTGAAATTTCAGGGGCCAGTACAGAGTCATATATATGACTCCAGAGTTTTGTTCGGGGAACTTGAAGTTACTTCAGAATCTTTACCAAACTGTTGGTAAGTTGTAAGGTTGTAAATAAGTTGGCAGGCAGCTTAAATTCATAATTATGTTAAAATTATGAATATGTTAAAACATAATTATGTTTTTAACCCTTGAACACTTTTCACCAGTTTCTTACCGCTAGTGAACTCGGAGGCTAGTGTAGTGACTGCCAGTAAATGGTGTCAGAAGATCCTGTCAGTGGTGAAAAAAAGATGTGAGTAGTGTCTTCAGCGTGGTCTTAGCACGAGATCGTTACACATGTTAATGGGAGCAGAGGTGCTAAAACACTGACCTTTAAATCACAGGATGTGATATGTAAATCATGGAATACTTCAGCCTTTTAGTTATTCCAGTCTCTCTGATCTTTGTCAGAATGTAATAATTAAGTTGTGTTTTGAAGCACTATAGTGCATTTCAAAAATCATCTTTTCATCAAAGATGATGCAGCTGATGCATTTCATAGTAGGGCACAAACTCCAAGAAACTTTTTTTCTAATAAGGAAAGGAGATTCTAGTGCTGTACACAGGCAGGACTGTTTCGAGGCAGACAAGCCACCTGAATTTCTGTGCTCCTGAGAAACTGTATGTGTGGCCTCTGACACTGGGGTGCTTTGAGTGTGCAGGTTAGGATGGGGTATCTGTGCTGAAATTGAGGGTTTCCTCAGACTCAGGAAATGTAAGGTTATTATCCAGGGTTGTCTTTAACTCCTCTTCCCTCAGTTTTCTGGACTTGGACTTTTGTTCAGTGAAGACCTGAGACACTCAGGCTTTGCTTTACAATCCAGAAAATAAAACTAATGACATCTGTAATTAGCACTTGTGCCTGTTGCTAAGACAGTCTGAGAAGAGCGGGGTTGGTGGGAAAAGGTCCTGTCAGAAGTGGGACAAGATTTTGACCTGTTCTGGGATGTTGGAGATTTAGAGCTTGGAGAAGGAAGCAGAGCTGGTGATGGGGAAGTCGGTAACAGCTCTTGGGCCTTGTTACAAAAGAGGCCACTGTGAAAATGGGCTTGGGGAGCTGGTACAGCAGAAGGCATGCTAGAAATAAAAACTTAGGGAGGTTGCAGTCATCTTCTCAGGAAGGCTTGACACTTAACTGCATGGGATGTTTGTGTTTTGTGACTTCTCCTGTTGGTTTGTTTGCCTTGTTAACGTGTCCATGCTGTGGTTTTGTGCTCACCAGGTATTACCCTCATAGCTGTTGATGAAGCTCACTGCATTTCTGAGTGGGGCCACGACTTCAGAAATTCCTTTAGAAGTTTAGGTGCATTAAAGAAGGCTCTGCCGTCGGTGAGGTTTTGATATGTTTGCTTTCTAATATAAGAGAAGGCTCCTGTCTCATTTTAAATGATAGTTTGAAATACCAGTCTTTGGGTGTTGCTCTTTGGGTGTACTTACACGCTGCTTTGCAGTTGGTGCAGTCCCTGTCAGAGACCAAGCTTTGTGGGTGTTTCCCAAATACTGGAATGAAGGATCTTCTGAACCTGGACCACCAGGAACTTCTGAAAATTAAATTGCTGTTTTGTAACCCTGTGCTGTGGGAAATGATATCTTAAAGCTTCTGGCTTAATATTAAGAGAGATATTTTTTTAACTGGCTGGCTGAGCGGCTTGTAAGAGCATGCAGTGGTGATTTCTAGGCAATCCTAGATAAAGCCCTGTGTTTCAACACTGTTCTGTCCCTGTAGCTAAATATTTACTTTATTTTTCAAATAGCTGAACTCATCCAGTGATCTTAAGAAGATTAAAGTGCCTGTTGACATGCTACTTTAGTTTTGATTTTTTTTTTTTAATTAAAAGAAATCTGAGGGGTCCCAGACTTAGTTTTCTGCTCTTGATTGCAGGTTCCCATTGTTGCTCTAACGGCAACTGCAAGTCCATCGATTAGAGAAGACGTAGTGCATTGTTTGAACCTCAAGAATCCCCAAGTCACATGTACAAGTTTTGACAGACCTAACCTCTACCTAGAAGTTGGACGACAAAGTGGAAATATCCTTAGGGATTTGAAGCAGTTCCTTACCAGGAAAGGAAGGTAAGGGTTTAAGTGTGTTTTTGTTCATCCCTCAGATATACTTTGGTATCTTGGAGTTTCAGTAGTGTGTACTAAGAACTTGTCGCGATCTTGCTAGTCACTCGTGTCATGTCCCATGTTGTTGTGCCCACCTCCCGGGTGTTTTGTTTTGTTTTTTTTTAAAAAAAAAGCTTTTGAGGTGAGGAGTGATGGACTTTGGCTCTTTGCTTGTTGCGATCTTCGGGGTCATTTGATCCTCAGAGGACCTGCTGACACTGTAGCAATTTGAATTATTACAGTGGATTAGCTGTTGGTTAACTTCTCAAACAGTATTTTACAAAATGTTTGAGTCTTGTAAGTTGGTTTTTTGTTTTTTTTTTTTAATCAAGCTAACCTGAGCAGAAGAATTGCAGTCTATTTTTCTGTTAGCAGACCCAGTGGTGTACCCATTCTGGCCTGATCTCCTCATTGCAAGCTAAGACATAAGCCTCCACAGCAATGTAAATGGATTTCTTATTGCTCATTTGTACCTTGTTAAGTAACCATAGAACTGTCAAAAGTGACAGCTGTAAAAGCATATTTCCTGGTGACATTAAGGATATTGGGAGGCCTTATCTTGCTACTTCTACAGAGACCAAAATCTGCTGTGTTTTGCAAAATAAACTTAAGACCACCAAACAACTTTCAAGTCTACATTTCCAAAGGACAGATGACGTGGTGGATCTGGAGTCGACCAGTAAAAACCTGTTTGAATTTCTAAATCCCCAAGAAGGTGAACTGCTGGAAAAGCCATGTTGCCTTTTCAACTCGGTTCAGTTGGACTTGCTGTGGCAGGGTGGCTTCTTCTGTTGTGTGTCTTCACGTGTCGCTGTTATTTGTAGCAGTTCTGCGTATGAGTTTGAAGGCCCCACCATCATCTACTGCCCTTCGAGAAAAGCCACCGAACAGGTGGTGTCTGAACTGATCAAACTCCAAGTGGCCTGTGGTGCCTACCATGCTGGTATGGGAATTAAACAGAGGAGAGAGACCCATCACCAGTTCATGAGGGATGAAATCCAGGTATGCAGGGATCCAAGTCCAATTGTTCCTATTTGTAATTGCAGAGTTCCTGTTCGAGGAAAGAATTGGGGAATATCAGCATGAGTTTCCCATGTAGTCTGTCTCCAATTTTGGGCAAAGAAATCACTGGTTTATGCTGACAGGAATAGCATTCCTGGCTTAAGTTTCAAATTCCTTTTAAGTCCTTTAAAAAATGCTTCACATCTGAGGAAAACAGTGGTAGCTAGAATGATATCCTCAACAAATTCTGTGAACTGCTGCCTTATTCCTGCAGCTAATCGGGCAAAGAGTTACTCTGGGACTTGTTGTGTTCCTCATCAGGATAGGCTTCGTGCTTTTTGTTGGAGAAGAGCTGCTTGAAAACATTCTAGCATTTGGCACAACACATCATCGCTCTCACATTTATAATCCTATGCTCATGCTCTGACCAAAATCAGACTTGACAACAGTGCTGTGGGAGCTGAGTGTGAGGGAAAAGCCACTGTAACTAAGGCTGAATTCTGAGTCCGCAGCAAAAAGCTGTCACCAAGTGTGTGAGCATTAATCCAGACCTAGTCTTGATGCTCATTTCCAAACATTCAGCACGTCCCTCTTGTTTTGTAGTGCGTTGTGGCTACGGTGGCGTTCGGAATGGGCATCAATAAAGCAGATATCCGGCTGGTTATTCATTATGGTGCCCCGAAGGAAATGGAATCCTATTACCAAGAAATTGGGAGAGCTGGTCGTGATGGGCTTCCCGCTTCTTGCCACGTCTTGTGGGCTGTGACAGACCTGACCTTTAACAGGTAAGTGGCTGCAGACGACTGCTTTGACACGGATAGCCAAGATCTTCTATGAGAGAGAGGAGCAGGGTGGGTTTAGTTGGGAGTGTGATGAATTTGGCAGAATGGTTCTGAGTCCTTTCCTGCGTGCACAGTGCTAAGGATGCTGTGCTTTTCCTGGAAGATTACCTACAACTGTGGTAATGTTAATGAGTTTGTCCTTGTTCCGTTTTTGCTTTATGAAGATGCTTAGCAAGGCAGGCAGTGATACAACCTGCTCACTTGCATTGCGAGCCATCTGACATGTTTCTGCACCCATCTGACCAGGTTTTTAGCCCTGTTGTCACCCCTTAAGAGTGCTGATACTGTAGAATAAACTTATATCTCTCCATTATCTAGATGTCTAAATGGAGAAATACATTATTTTATTTCTGGGCAGGGAAGTCCTGTTTGTAGAGGTCTCCTGTTAACTTTGTCCACAGCAGATGTAAGACCATAGAAATGTCTGAATTCAGTCATTTGAACTTGGCTCTAGCAGACAGCCAGAGTCTGTGAAACTGTGTACTTCCCTGCTTTTCCCCATGCCATCCCAGACAGGCAGAAACTTGGTGACCTCAACCGTGAGCTGGAATGGTGTTGCTGTGTTCATGTGGTGCCCAACACTTGCAGCATTGGCTTGTTTTCCATGCCACGTGGTGTAGATGGTAGTTGAGGTTTGGCTCTTGCAGCAGCTCAGATCATGGGCAGAGTGAGCGCTCCACGCACACATCAAGTACTCTTGCTGTTTTCATGGTTGGATGCTTCCAGTGACTACTATGAGGAATAATAAATAAGACATCGGGTAGATGTATACTAACATGCTGCCCTCAAATTTATTAAAAGGGTGATGATATTTGAGTGTATTTTGTTATCTGGCAGTGCCATCGATGAGAATTTGCCAGGGTTTGTCTGGAAAACTGAAGGCTGAGGGAAATTGCCCTCTCTTGATGCCTTTTGACTTTGATACCCTCCTCTGTGCCTTCTAGCATGGATTTCTGAAGCTTAGTAGCTTGAGGGGTTGGAAGCAGCTCTCTGTCTCTCCTTCTGCCCCATCTAGAATGATTGTCATGTGTAGAAGAAAACGAACAAGGTGCTCTTCTGAGAATGCCCTGTGCTCTAGGGTTGAAGATTGTGGCGAAGCAGGCAGGCAGTTCAGGTCTGGTTGCAGTGGGGTTGTTCTTTCCTAGCTGTTTCTGGTGAATTTGACTGAGACAGTTCTCTGGCATATTTAATTCTTGGTGTGGGACAGGGAGTAACAGTCATTTTTTAATGCTCTTCATCTTTCCTCTGGGCTGACAGACATCTTCTCAGTGAGATACGCAATGAAAACTTCCGGCTGTACAAACTGAAGATGTTGGCAAAAATAGAGAAGTACCTTGTGTCAAACAACTGCAGGAGGAAGTGAGTGCTGGAATCTGTTTAATGCTTCATGTCACTTCAGTCAGGTTTCATAAGAGTCGTTGCATCTTGGTCATGACTGGAGGTTGTAACTAGAAGGAGTCTTATACTCACAACGTGTTCTGCCAAGTTGCTTTATATTTAAAAAGCTGTATAAAAAAATACAGCCTTCAGCATTTTCATATATATATATATATATATA